TATGAACTGAAAAACAGTCTGTATTTTAGATGAAACGTACAGATTGATAAAATGTTAAACAAATTTAAGAACAGGCCAAATGGTAAGCTTTTATGGTAGATTAAGTAGCTTCTTAAATAAATATTTATCTTAAAAATAGTCCATAATGCAGTAATTTTTCTTAATTTTGACTATGGGGATATTATCTATGACTCGGCCAATAAATATTTAACTGATAGACTGCACAAAATCCAAAACAAAACCGGTCGTTTCATTTTGTATATTTATCGTACCTTCCATATATCACATTCAGGAAATCAAAATGATCTTAAATGGGATACCTTAAATAAAAGAAGAACCCTACATTTGAGTATTTACATGTCAAAATCTGTTATTGAAATTACCCCTTTTTACATCTCAGACTATTTCCATACCTCTGTCCATAAATACCACGTATAAATGGCGATAAGCTGAATACTCCTGTAAACCTGCTACCGATATTTTGCAAACAAACTTTTGAATAAAGAGGGGCCATGGATTAAAACATCCTTGTTGTAGGTGTTCAATGTGGATCGAGCAAGCTTGTTCGTTCCACTCAAATACCCCTTTTATCACTCCCTTTTCTGGACTGATCTGCGCTACACCGATCGACTGGACCGCACCAGAGGTACGGTTTGTTCGGTTTCACACTTATCGCAATGTTTACTTTGATGAGACACGCGATGCCATAGCAACATAAACGGTTACTGTTGCTATGATACACAGGATCATTGTTATCCTTGTTTTTATCTTTTCTCTTTCTGCCTTTCCATATCTTATTCTGTGTTTTTACTTCTATCACCTTATATTAATGTTATTCTAAGTATCACCATATCTCATGTTATTCTTTGGTGTTAGTCATTCTATCACTTTCTCTTTTTACCGTTCGTTAGCTTATCCTTGTTTTAATCATTTTCTCTTTCTGCCATTCATTATGTTATTCTTTGTTTGTCCTTATATCCCCTTCTATTACGTTATTCGTTGGTGTTAGTCATTCTATCACTTTCTCTTTTTATTGTTCGTTATAGTGCAGCGGCTTAGCAAGAAAATTGTGCACTTTTTGACAAAAGCATGAAACTTCTAGCATAGTTAGTTTAGACCATAAGATTTATTTTCAGATGTGGAGGGAAGTCAGATTTGACCTCTGATGACCCTGAGAGGTCAAATCCAAAATGGCCGCCAGTCCGTATGGTCTAATGTACAAACACGCTTAACTTTTGAACCAAATAGTCCAGAAAAACGTTTAAGGTGTCATTTCCAACTAACTTGGGGATGCCAATTCATTTGGTAATACTTTTGAGATCGCCTGAACTCAGGGTTTTGCATTTAGGTCAAGGTCAAGGTCAAAATTGACTTAAAATAGCAAGTTTTGAATGGTTACAAATGAGATTTGTCATTTGTTCTCAAATTTCTTTAGGAATGGTTCCCCTGCATAGTCCTCCACCTTAATCCTTTTCAGGTAGTTTATTTCACATTTTGTTTTGACCTCTGATTTGTAAGATTTTATTGACTCTATCGACCCCCTCTCGGGGTATGAGAGTACAAACATATTTACAACATAGTATCAATATAACAATAGTATAACAATGATAAACATGTGATAACATGAAAATTGATAAACATAATAGGATAATATAAACAAAGACAAACATGTGATAATATAAACAATAATAAACATGTGATAATATGAACAATAATAAACATGTGATAATATGAACAATGATAAACATGTGATAATATGAACAAATAAACATATTTACAAATCAAGGCGAACTGGGCAATTCACCTTCCTACCGCTACGAGTGTGCCTAACAACATTGCTTATTTGTGAGCTATCATTTCCAGTAGTACCATCTACCCTTGAATCTTTTGAAAAATATGACATAATGATTCTAACAAATTTGGCTAATTTCTTTAGCTGGCAAGCGTGAGCTGTATTAAAAACCTTATCCATGTGCAACGCACTTGGTCTTAAGCTACTACCGCACAAGTTATTTTGTATATACATTTTTCTTTCATTTTGAAAGAATGGACATACAAAAATATAATGAAATTCATCACCAATATCTGTTGGTGTACAGAGTGGGCATTGCAGATCATCTACTACATTTGCATCAAATCTACCTTTATTAACTGGTAATCTATGTGTTCTGCATCTAAATTTACTTAAAGTTATTGCTTCCTTCTGACATAATATCTGCAGGTATTTTTCATAAACCAACTCATTCTTAAACATCCTATAGTTCGTGCAAATACGATTTGACCAGGTAGCTGCGCTCCATTCCTGAATAGACATGTCAGAAAGCCTAGTTTTCATAGTATTCATAATCCAGGCAGCACTATATCCTTCTCCTTGAGCTCGCCAGACGTTCCCAAGTCCTGCATAGTCAAAACTGTCTGTAAGAAACTCGACCCATTGTGACTTTATATTAACTAAACTTTGTCCTTCATTTTGCAACTGCAACAGAAACTTAAAAAGAATCAATGAATACTTTGATTGCTTCCCGTTAACTAATCTAACCCAATATCCAATCATCCTACACTTAATTTTATCGAGTATTTTACCACGTCCAGTTTCACCATAAACCATGCAGTCAGGTGTGCACTTATTTACAAACAATATCGTTCTTAAAAATTTTCTTTGGAAAACTTCAAGTTGATCTATACACTCATAGCCCCAGACCTCAGCACCATATAATAGAATTGGCAAAACTAAGTGATCAAATAAATGACATTGTGTATCAACAGATAAATGCAACCTTTTTGCCTTTACTAACATACTATACATTGCCTTTCGAGCTTGTGTGACCTGTTTAGCAATTGCTTTTTTAAAGTTACCATTATAATTAAACGTCACTCCTAAATATACAAAGTCATAAACAACTTCCAGTACACCACCACCATAAACGAATACTGGAATTCTTCTAACTTTCCCACGTGAAAAAACAACAATTTTTGTTTTGCTGGCATTAACAGTTAAGTGCCAAGTATCACAATAATCTTTCACTGCGTTTAGGGCTTTTTGCAACTCTTCAGGAGTTTCTGCTAGAATAATTGTGTCATCAGCATATAACAAAGAAAATAACTCCTTATATATTTCAATACCATCAAAAGGCAACTTATTTTTAATAATAGTATTCAAAAATTCCAAGCCCTTGTACGAGTTTCCTATAGATTGTTGGAAATCGTTCAAATAAATAGCAAACAAGAAAAGTCAAATCCAAAATGGCCGCCAGACCGCATGGTCTAATGTACAAACGCGGTAACTTTTGAACCAAATAGTCCAGAAAAACGTTTAAGGTGTCATTTCCAACTAAATAGGGGATGCCAATTCATTTAGTAATACTTTTGAGATCGCCAGAACTCAGAGTGTTGCATTTAGGTCAAGGTCAAGGTCAAAATTGACCAAATATTGCAAGTTTTGAATGGTTACTAAAGGTTAAATCCCCATTTTGTTCTCCCCTATGTTCTCAAATTTATTAAGGAATGGTTCCCCTGCAGAGTCCTCCACCTTAACCCTTTTCAGTTAGTTTATTTCACAGTTTGATGTGACCTCCGATGACCATGAGAGGTCAAATCCAAAATGGCCGCCAGTCCGCATGGCCAATGTACAAACGTGGTAACTTTTGAACCAAATAGTCTAGAAAAATGTTTAAGGTGTCATTTCCAACTAACTTGGGGATGCCAATTCATTACGCAATACTTTGAGATCGCCAGAACTCAGGGATTTGCAATAAGGTCAAGTTCAAGGTCATATTAGGCCAACAAAAGTGATGTTTTCTTTTTAAAAATAAACTTTGCCTCTATTTTGACACTTAAGGGGTCATTATTTAAAACAAAAAATTAAAAGACCCGTGTACCACCACTTTGACTATCCAGGGCCATATTTGATAGAGCTGCTTATCGGCTGGTTCTGTGCTAATACGAATGAGTTTCTACTTCATAGCACTGCTAACCGTAAGCACACGAAAATGCATTAACCTTACGCTGCTTACTGGACGAAAATTAATTTTGTAACAATGCAAATCCATTGTGAACGCACAAGGTGGACACCTTGTTTTCTTGCTAACCAAATTTGTCTGCTACAGTTATAGCACGAAAATTTGATTACCGGTAAGCAGCTTTAAGAAATTGGGCCCAGAAGACCAAAAAAGCTATTCCAAATACGACTTAAAACCTGTTCATTACCCCATGAATTTAGCACTATCCACAACTTATGAATTATCATAATGGTAACGATCAAAATCTAACAGTCTCCAGAACAAGAGCACAGTTCAGTGCAACCTTATAGTTGAGGGCGCTGTTGAGCTGCGGCCCTGGTAGATATTTTGAGCTGTAAATATAACATTTGTTTTACTGTTTGTTATTTATATAACTTTTGCCACTCTTCGCCAAGCTTCTATTTGTATATTCAGGACTCACTGTAACCAGGTATGGATGTGTTTCGTTTTATCGTTTGCCTACATTTTGCAAGTTTGTTGTTGACATTATCGTTGTTCTCGACGGTCATAGACTTACACACACAACGAATTATAGGCTGTACACTTCCGAGTTCTGTCTTTCATATGCAAATTTCTGGTACGAACACAATGGATAAATCATGCCCTGGTCGGTCAATTTCTCATTGTCCGCAACGGTACGTTTATTCAGTCGCCGCACTGTTCAAGTTACGTCACAATGCCTCGTATCCGGTTGAGAATGTGCGTCGTGTTGCCATGGAACTCGGTATCGTAAAGCGCAAACGGGGAAGAAGGGCTGGTAGTCACATCCATCGGCCGATTAACTCTGTATGTAATGTTTCGAGATATCCTAAGGCCCTACATCTGAATAAAAGGAACGTTTGTGCTAACAATCTTATTACAATTCAGACAGATATCAATGCAAATAATATCTCAAGTTCTACAAAGAGAACTCCATACCCATCAATTTTGTTGAGTAACCTTCGATCACTATCAAATAAATTAGATGACTTGATTGTTACAATGAATGTTAATCAAACTGATATTGCAGTTCTATGTGAAACCTGGCTGAATGACTCTAAACCTGATGAAAAATTCCATATTCCTGGTTTTACGCTTCATCGTCGTGATCGCAGAGGTCGTCAAGGTGGCGGCGTCGCAATCTACACCCGATCTGATCTCAATGTTACCATTCTTGATAATGCGACGTCACCCGAGCTCGAGGTCCTATGGATTAGATTGGAATCTCAGAAGCTCCATACAATGTTCGTAGCTGCTGTTTATGCACCACCCAATTCGCCCTTTCACCAAGATCTTAACGATTCACTGGTTGAAACAGTGGATTATATTCACACTCGATTTCCTGAATCTGGCATTGTGATCTTGGGAGATTTCAATGACATGGATACCGATTCTCTAGCATCCGAAATCGATTTTTCCCAGATTGTTGACAAACCTACGAGAGGCGACAACGTCTTAGACAAGGTCCTGACAAATATCGCTGATGATTACAACCGACCAGCAGTCATCAACCCGATTCGTAACAGTGATCATAGAACGATCATTGTTTCTCCGAAGGCCACTATTCCCAATCCGAAGCGACAGAAGATATCAATCCGCCCCATTAGAGATTCTTCTATCAGGTCCTTTGGCCAGTGGCTGACCTCTGTAGATTGGAGTTGGCTACTTGATCTTGAAAATGCTGCTGATATGCAGGTATCATTTCAAGATGAGCTAACCACGGCTTATGAGAGATGCTTCCCTCAGATTACATTTGTACGGAGAGAAGATGATAAGCCTTGGATGAACAATCGTATTCGTTCTCTGATCGACCAACGCCAAGCTGCCTATCAATCAGGAAACCTTCCACGTTATAGCCAACTCAGAAATCAAGTAGAGCGGGAAATTAAAGCTACTGAGAACAAATTCTTCCTTGGAAAGGTGTCACACCTGAAGAAATCACAACCTGGGAAATGGCACAAGGAGATCCGTAACATTACTAGTATAAAAAAGACATCAAATAAGCTACCTGGATCTCATATGGCACCCGCCGAGCAGGCTGACTGGATAAACTCCCACTTTGCGAATGTCTGTTCCTCCCTACCACCCCTGGATCGCAAGTCTCTTCCGGTGTACTTGCCAGCTGATTCACCTCCACCGGAAATCCAACCTTACCAAGTGTACAATAAATTGAAGAAACTGAAGATCTCAAAGTCATCTCATACTAATGATATTCCTTTGAGACTTGTTCGTGAGTTTGCTGTTGAATTATCTGTACCATTATCTATCATTTTCAATTCCTGTCTACAATCGGGTATGTTTCCAGAGTATTGGGAAATCGGTAATATCATTCCGATTCCTAAAGTAAACCCATGCAATTCTCTGGATCAATTACGTCCTATCTCTTGTAACACCAGTCTTTGCTCGTGTCTTTGAGGAGTTTCTTGTGGAGTGGATTAGACGTGATATTGCCGATCATATAGACCCCCGTCAGTTTGGCAGTGTCAGAGGCTCTTCCACTGTACATTACCTCCTCAGCCTGGTTGATTGTATTTTGCGTGAAACTGACAAATCGGGAACGATTGCATCAATTTGCACAGTTGACTATGCAAAAGCATTTGATGCTATCGATCATACCGTTTTAGTAACTAAGATGATAAATATGGGTGTCAGTCAATCTATCATTTCCGTTGTGTGTGACTTCCTGAGTAACAGATCCCAAACTGTCCGCCTTAGTGGGATTACCTCTCAAGTTCAATCCATAACATGTGGTGTCCCACAGGGCACCAAGCTTGGCCCAATCCTATTTCTGATCATGATCAATGATGCTGCAGATTTCACCCCAAATAGATGGAAATATGTTGACGACCTTACCCTAGCAGAATTCAGAAAACATACTCAGCAATCACAATTGCAAGATCAGGTCTCCCAGCTAACCCAATGGTCTAGCACAAATCACATGACGCCTAAACCGTCAAAATGTAAGATCCTTAACATATGCTTCATGCGAAACCCTCCACCTTTCCCTGAAATCAAGATCGGCGATTCTGTTCTTCAGGAAGTCACACACCTGTCACTGTTAGGAGTTACTTTGCAATGTAATATGAAGTGGGGTCAACAAATTGATCTCGTCGTTCAAAAAGCTTCGAGACGATTGTTTATGTTGTGTATCTTGAAGAAATACAATGCATCCTGTAGTGATCTAGTTACCATCTACGCATCCCATATCCGTCCCATTCTAGAGTATGCCTCACCTGTCTGGTCTTCTACAATCACTTGTCAACAGTCTGAGAAACTTGAGAGAGTTCAAAGGCGTGTGACCAAGATCATTCTCGGTTTCACCCCTCTCACCTATGATGAAAGGCTAGAGAGTCTAAATCTGCCCTCCCTTCAATCAAGAAGAATTGAGCTTGATACTAAGTTTGCTCACTCGTTACTGACGTCCCGACACAAAGACTTACTTCCACCATCTAAAGATTCCTTGCCCAATTTTCGCCCCCTCCGTAATAATCATGGTTTGGTCATTCCTAGGTGCAGGACTAGCCGATATCAAAATTCTGCTGTTCCTTCTCTTGTTCGTGCAATTAATAAGCCTGGATGCTCTCTCTCTCTCTCTCTCTCCCTCTCTATCTATCTCTATCACATTTTTCTCTCTCTCTCTCGCTCTGGCAGTAACATTGATCCTTCACTGACCTCCCTAGGCATGCACAGGAGTTCACCGAAGGAATCATTCACTTCTGGGAAAGACTTCTAAGTTTTTCCTCTGGATGCAGAAACAGTCTGACACCCGGTGAACGCATGAAAGATTGGGAGAGTCATACATTGTGTCGGACTCATGGTGGCAACCATCATGATTTTGTGAAAAGCTATGTACCGAAAGCTTGATCTGACACCAAAATCGATCCACAGCATCAGGAGCTGTCTTGCTGAATGAAGCCACAGCCAGTTCAACCGCATCAGTACAACCAGTACGTATGGTTACCCTTTTACACCCATGGGGCAAGGCCTGCCAAGTGTGAATCAGCAGGAGAGCAGAGTACTCCACCTCCACTTCTCCATACTCTTGAAATGTTCTTGATGTTCCAGGATTGAGCATTTGAACCGCAGCTTCACCATCAATAATTATTGCTTGGGCCACAGGTGCACTATTGTTTTCGAGCAGATTTGATTCCAGGCAGCGAAGTAGATCTGCTTTAACTCAAAACCGCATTTTCCTCCAGTTAACAAAGTTGGCGGGGCTGCCTGGTTTTCATGAGAGAAGAAATTGTCCATATCTCCATCCCTTATCTGACACGAGATGTACATCCTCAAAAAGAGACCACAGTCCCTCTTAAGTGCTGCAAGCTGTGCCTACTGTTTTAACATAACCTTCGCCGGCTGCCGACTGAAAAATGGCAACTTGTTCGTATGAAGTGTTTGTGTGACAGGTGTCGTACACTGCCAATGACTAGTAGGTCTTGACTTTGTTCTAGAAATGGATTCCCCATCTTTTTCAGTAGTCAGAAGTTCCCATCCCTCAAGAATGCTGCCTGCACTCCAGGTTGCTGGTCATGGTGATGTTGTCTAGTGTTAGCAGAACCGTTGTTTTGCTTTATGGCCTGTTCCTCAAACCCTGTAGTGATCCTTTAAATTACTTAGCACCAAATAAAACACAAAGTAACTTAAAAAACATCTTACCAGTATTATTGAGCAGTAATGAAAAGGAGCAGTTTTCCTGACTTGAATTGAGGCTTTTGCCGTATACTGCCTAGCTGCCCACTGACCATGCTATGCATATGGTCAGTTACAAGACAAATGGTTTGGTGCTATCATTAGTGAAATAAACTAACTGATAGGGATTACGATGGAGACTATGCAGGGGAATCACCCCTACAGAAATTTGAGAACATTATATAGGGGGACAAATAAATGGAAAAACTGTATGTTACCATTCAAAACTTGCTATTTTTTGTCAATTTTGACCTTGACCTTGACTTAATGCAAAACCCTGAGTTCTGGCGTACTCAAAAGTATTCCCAAATGAATTGGCATCCCCAAGTTAGTTTGAAATGACACCTAAAACTTTTTTCTGGACTATTTGGTTCAAGAGTTTTTATGCGTGTTTGTACAATTATTAGACCATGCGGCGGACTGGCGGCCATTTTCTATTTGACCTCTCAGGATCATCAGAGGTCAAATCAAAATGTGAAATGAACTAACTGAAATGGATTAAGGTGGGGGACTATGCAGGGGAACCATTCCTAAAGAAATTTGAGAACACAGGGGAGAACAAATGACAAATGAATGGGAAAACTTTTTGTAACTATTCAAAACTTGCTTTGTCTTAGTCAATTTTGACCTTGACCTTGACCTTAATGCTAAGCTCTGAGTTCTTGCGATCTCAAAAGTATTACCAAATGAATTGGCATCCCCAATTTAGTTGGAAATGACACCTTAAACGTTTTTCCGGACTATTTGGTTCAAAAGTTAAGCGTGTTTGTACATTAGACCATACGGACTGGCGGCCATTTTGGATTTGACCTCTCAGGGTCATCAGAGGTCAAATCTGACTTTCCTCTTCATCTGAAATTAAATCTTATGGTCTAAACTAACTATGCTAGAAGTTTCATGCTTATGTCAAAAAGTGCACAATTTTCATTATATTGGGAGCTTATCCGCTGTACTATTAGGTTATCCTTGTTTTTGATATTTTCTCTTTATGCCATTCATTATGTTATTCTTTTTTTCTTCCTTATATCCCCTTCTGTTACGTTATTCGTTGGTGTTTATCATTTTATCACTTTCTTAGCTTTTATGTATAAAGTGTACCCTATTTATTCATGAAGAAGAAAGTATTATATAATGATCGACTATTTTTTTAATTATTACATTAATGTGTCTTTGTTCGATTTTTTTTTTTTTAATTTTGATGACATTTACAACCTATTAGAATTGACACAATAATTTGATTATTTTATGTAAAGGATGATATAATGATGAGGGAACATATAATTAATTGCACGGGTTGTTAGAAGTATGGTCCTTGTTTCAATTAATTTTTATCTAAGTATAGCAGTTCTGAGAACAAAAGTACACTTACATGCACATCTGATTTGGGACTCTTCTCACCCAGCTGGCAAGCGACTGTTAGTGTTCTCTGCCGTAACACAAATTCATCGTCATCGCGCTTCACAGGTTGTACTTTGGGGTGATTCAATTCATGGACATCGGTCTGAAAATCATGTGTGAAAAAATAATTCTGATAGAGTTATCTGGAAATTATAAAGTAGATATAAATCATATGTTCACTTGTATTGTACACTAACTCTCGGATTAATGTGTATTTCAACTAAAGTACTAATCGTCCTAAAAAATAAACCCCAGTTGCCAATCGATTTAGATCGGTGAAAATCGGCTTTATCTGTCAAGAAAATCAGAAAATTAAGATAACGTTCAAAATGGCATTGATTGAGAGAAACAACCAAACAAGTTTTATTTAGAGTAGAGTTGTAACAGATAAGTCTGAATGTACAATTTCGGCATCGGGAAATACATTAGTTTAATTGGTATTATGAAAGTGGAAAAGTTTCAAGGTATAGTCTGAAATGACATTCATTAAGATGTTTACAAGACCATGCTCGGTGAATATTTACGACCAAGACCAAAAGAGCCACATAAAGAAGAAAAAAAGTTATTTAGAGAACCAAAAGGTGTTGAAGGAGGTTTAAGTTTTCTTTTAATATCCAAATACTTATATTTAAAGCTAAAATTTGCTCGACTTTTTAACTAAGAAAGGCTCGAAGACTGTTAATTTGCAACATGAATTTGATGGGACAGTAACACATCCTCGATTCCGACGCCATGATAAACAAAGCCTTCCTGCGGTGATCAGACATAGATACGCCCCAACAAATAAAGGATGTTAATGTATGTTTACCCATTTTTGGCCATGTGGCTTCTTGGCGAAACAAACCTCGAGTACTGTTTTTTTGGAGGGACTCAAGACTCTGGGAAGAAACGACATGCATGACAGTAGTATGCCCTTCAGAAATATCCAATCCCAAATTAAGGCAAAGAATCCTCCAGAAAAATGGCTGACTGAGACTTCTAGCCACCGTTCCTGTACTGAACAAGTAATTTCTGAGGAATCCGGAAGCCGCTTAGGTGTACCTTTAATTGAAAACAAATCGAATTCAATTAAATAAAAAGGCGACAGGAAATTACATAAATATGGTGTATTGTCTTAAATCATTAGGATTAACATAATTATGTATCGTATTTTTGCGACTGGAATACGATTCAAAAGGGAAAATTAAAACAACAACAACAACAAATAACGTCATTATAAACTACTTTATACTACAAAAGACATCATTAGGCGCACAGGACTAGACATTGATATATTTGTCAATTTAATTCAATAAACACAATTGTCGTGAAATATTTTCCTCACATATTTCTCTTGAGTATTAGACAAACATATGTGTACATAGACCTTAATCTGCTAATGGAAGAAATTACAATTTGTTTTTCTGTTGACCATGATAAATCTTTTCTTACACCAAACTACCCGCTGTGAAATTTTATGTGAGCAAAGAATGTGTAGCTTTTGCAAAGAGCCCCTGAAACGACATAATTGGTTTAAAGTTGTGGAACTGATCGGGGATGCAAAATTATCATGATGGATAGATCATTACATATACATGGATTCGTATGGCATATGGCATAAGGCATGATAATCAACGTCAAAGGCTTTATTCAATTAATGGACACTGCCATTCTTCGGGCCGTGCTTTGTAACTTATGCATTGAAAAAACTAATAGGAAACAAAACCAAATAATTAACGTCAGGATATTGAGAAATCTGCTAGTAATTTTGTTACAAAATTATCAAGATTAGTACATATGCGGTCATGAATGGGTGTCAAAATTTAGGAGCCTGTCTGAGAAACATTCTAATCATATAACAAGGTGTTTTGTGTTCTTGACTAGTATTGCAGGCACTTCTGTGAATATGGTCAAAGCATTGATGTAGCCGATATATCGCCGTCCGATTTTTTTTTAAAGAAACGGCATTGATCATAATATGTCATTGATCATGCTGCTAATAGTTGTGACAATGTTTATACAGCTATGACCATAATCCGCCAATTGCAGACGCGGGGGAGTTAGCATATCCACATTAAACGAGTTTAATGGTGTAACGTCTGCGCAGCCAATGACGGCCGAAGATTATCCCTATTTACAGAGGCATGTCCCCGCTATTATACCTACACAAAAATGAAAGAAAATCTCCGAATACAATTATCCATAACTCATTCCATAACAATTTTGCTTAATTAGGAATCGGATTCAAGGCCTATGCCTATATGGGGTAAATCCAGTAGATTATAGGCCAGTTCAAAAACTATTTTTGTGTGTGATAAAAAAATAAAAAAATAAAATTTTACTTGCTGAAAATCTGAAAACGTGGTTTAGTAATACCTGGCAGTGCCTGATTCCAGGAATAGAGTACGGTCTGTATTTTGTTAGGAGTAGTGACTATTGCACAGTGAGGTATTGTCAGCTTTGCTGGTTTCTTAAAGCGTAGCCCTGACGGGTGACACTGGAAGCCATGACTGACTAGTAGCTCGTCCTCTTTAAGTGTGAGGCCTTTTGGAATGTCGGTCAGTACCTTAAGGCTGATTTGGACATCTTCCTCGAGTGCACCAGGTGGAATGTGGAGTGTATATCCATGGGATTCGGTAGACAGCTTGCCTCCAAGAGCCCCAAAATTTCCAGTTGCAGAGCTACCGTCTAAAAACAGCAATTCAAATAATTATGTGTAATAACAGCTCTGACATCACGGTGAGAATCTCCGCTAGAGGTACAGTGCATAAACACAAGAACATATTGTATATAGTCTCATTTCCCGAACTCACTTAGACCCTCTTTTTAATCGTTATTTAAGTTGTATTTGCGACAATAAAAACGTCAAGAGGAAACAGTAAACAAAGAAGAGAATTAACAATTTGATGTTTAAAGACATTATAACTACTCGTGTTATTATATAATGCTTAACCCCACCTCCCCCTCCCAAACAAAAAAGGGCATGCAAGAAGAAAAATCAGAAA